TTTCAAAAATACTAAACCTATCTAACCTTGCTTTGCAAGATACATGATCATGGCCAAACTTATTGGTTTAACCTGAATGAATCTTCGCTCATTATCACTGAATAGAAAATGTTCTATAGCCGCCATACACGGTCCTGTCTTGAGTATCGTTACTGTAAAAGTCAAATATTAACTATGGAGACTGGTGAACCTCTGCGACCTTGATAAAGTCTATCTTTTACAAGTTTAATTTTTTTTAAAGTCTATTGAAAGTAAAACAGCTGCACCTTATTTACAAAGCTCAGTTTATATTCACTTTGCAAGTGAACAACCTCTATTCCTTTAGCAAAGAAGCCCCATTACATTTATTCTAAGCAGTAATACTATGCAAAAGCCAGAGGCTCCACCCCACAATGAGAGGTATTTACCGTATATACTCGAGTATAAGCCGTCCCGAATATAAGCCGAGGTACCTAATTTTAGCCAAAAAAACTGGGAAAAAGTATTGACCCGAATATAAGCCGAGGGTGGGAAACTGTAAAAGTCAAAAAACATGAGTTTCTGTGCATGATTGGATGTTTGAAACAAGCACAGGTTCGTTTTTACTTCTCCAAACTCTTCACCCTTTTGTGAATAACACTCACTATTATTTAGAAGGCAGGAGAAGTAAACAATCTAGGACAAAATAGCTGAACTTGAAAGTTAGCTGAATTGGAGAATTTTTCCAAATCCGCTATTTTGGCCTAGATTGTTCACTTCTCCTGCCTTCTCCAAACTCTTCACACTTTTGTGAATAGCCTTGTAAGTGTTCACCAACTAAGAAAAAGATGGGGCTTTTAAGGCCCCGTTCACATTGAGCGATTTATCGCACGATTTTTGCAGCGATATCGCTCATATTTCTGCGCGATATCGCTCTATGTAGCTTCACCGATACATTTCAATGGAGCTGTTCACATCTCGTCGCTCAATATCGCTCAATATCGCTTGTAGCTCGTCGCTGGTAGCTTGTCTCTCCTACATGACCCTTTTTTCGAGCGATTTTGCTCCTGATTGCATACAGCCCAATAGGAAGAAGTCGCGCGATACGTCGCTCAATATCGCTCAGTCGCGCGATTTTCATGTCGCTCAGTGTGAATGGGGCCTAAAGTGTCATAGAAGAGGGACATATTGCGACATAACACAAACACATATAATCTAAAATAGCATTTTCTTTGTATCTGAAAACTCCTTGATCCAAATATAGATAAAAATGATATATCCACTAATCTAAAAAAAACGAACGACAAAGAACCTCCCAGGAACCTGTACAGATACATAGTATGCATACGATTAATGCAATGTACATATTTAACATTGATCATATGCATACTATGTATCTGTACAGGTTCCAGGGAGATTCTATGTCGTTCGTTTTTTGAGATTAGTGGATATATATCATTTTTATCTATATTTGGATCATTATTATTATACAAGATTTTTCTAGCGCCAACAGTTGTGTAGCGCTTTACAATATAAGGAAGACATTACAATTACAATAAGATTCAGGAGTGCCTACAATCTAAAAGGGAGGAGCAAGTGATGCATGGGGAGGTAGCTGTGTGGGGATGAATTTTTCTAGAATGTAATGGTTCAGTGGTTAGTTAGAGGTGGGATAGGCTTCCCTGAAGAGATGAGTCTTTAGGGATCGCCTAAAGGAAGTACTGTACTGGTGTTTGAAACTTTTACATTAATAGTTAAATTTACTAGAAACTGTTTTACAAAATGCATGCAGTTTTTTGGTTTGTCTATTTGTCATAATTGTACCCATGGGTCAGTGCCATAGGCGGAAGCTTAGGGGGGCGAGACTGCATGTACCATATATATACTTTTTTAAATCAACAATTCAGTAGTAGGTGCTGCACCCAGCAGGCAAGCAGGATACAATCAGTGCCAGCAGTATACAACCAGAGCAAGCAGGACATCATGATACCAGAATGCACCCAAAGTAGAATGCCAGGATACAGCCAGAACCAGCAGGATTCAGCCAGTGTAAGCAGGATGCCAGGCACAGCAAGAGAGCAGGATGCATTTAGGATTGGCTTACTGGTGTTGCGATGCCCCTAGCAGTTCTAATAGTCTGTGTGACTGAGTAGCCTTGAGGTTCCAGTGTTCCAGGTTGATAGCGGTACACTATGTGCAAATTGGCATCCTCGGGGCCTATTTGAACTAATGATTGCAAATAGCACCCCAATACACTGCAGTAGCGGCAGCTGCCCTGCAGTTCAGAGCACCACAATGCCTGTGTTCAGGTGTGCTGTAATGTATACAATGCTATTAGTCTTCACCCCATGCTCTTTACAAACTGCAGTAACTCTCATGTCCACTCCTGGAGTGTGAATCAAGTTTAAAAATGAAGCCAGGCACTATTTCACTTTCTAGCTCTATGTGACTTTATTATAGTCCATTGGTTGTTGCACTCATTACAAGTGCTTAGAGAAACATCTACTGTATGTGGGTCTAAACACATTTCTTAACCGTACATTAGGGGACATGAGTATTCAAGTACATAGTTATGCAGATGCATTCAGGAGATTAGATCCTAGCAAACAGAACGGAAAGCTATCCCAGTATAACCCCTTCCACTCTCAGCATGCCTCAAGTATTTGCTAGTGTCCTTAGGAGAACAGATGTATTCTCTCTGCTCTGAAAGAAGCAAACCATTTCTACCGTTTTTGTCAATATTTTTTTCTTCTGGCAAGATACTGCAGATTCTGCAGAGCCACTTGGGGCTTTCCAGATCGGTTGATCCTCGGCATAGCCCTGGAGGCAATACATAGACCCCACTGTGAAGAGCAATAGAATCTGCATTAGGCGCTCTCTAGACACCCTCGGTGTCAGTGGCGTCACAAGGTGACAACATTGGAGGGGTGACACCAAAATGACTGATGTCAAAACGACAAATGGAAGATATTATTCACCTAACATGCAGAATGAGTCTCCTTTCAGTGCAAATGCTTTGGTCTTTTGCATATGCCTTTTGGCAAGTCCCTGCACAATTTTATCAAGGATATCACCAGGGACAAGAGCACCTTTTTACCTCAACAGAAGAAGGCTAAACCTCAGTCGGTCAAAACCTCCTCTTCAGAGGCTAAGAAGAGTTCCCTTTGCTTCTCCCAGGCCTCAAGTCCAAAGTAAAACCCAGAACTCGTTTCCACCATAAAACCTGGACCCCCAATCCTCCAAGCCAGCACAAAGTCAAATATCTTTCTTAGCATTTCTTTTTCAAAGATGGCTTGCCTCTTACTCCTTTTTATAGAGTGAGGGCCTTCTTGCAGGGTATCGCTCACTCTGTGGCATGCCATCCTGGTTTTGTCAGCTTTCCAGAAACTGCCTAAGACATTCCCTGCCTAATCTAACTCATAAGGTTGCCTTCCTTATGACCATAACCTCTTTTTGGACCCTGCATTTAACTATGCCCAAGTACAAGCTCTTATTCACTGCCAATGATTTAATGTGTATAGATAGATGCAGGTGAAGAGTAGCCTTTGCAATTACCTGAGCTCTCTTATGATTCACAATATGCAACTGGGGTCCGAAAGGGAACAACCGCTATACTTCCAGTCCAAATGGTGTCAAGAAGAAGTGGTAGAAGAAATCTGCATATCTCCGTGGCGGAAGTCCGTTAGGAAGTGTAAAAGGTTGTCGCTATCTAATGCCACTTGGGCTTAATAATACAAAAGGAGCATGGACATGACATCATGAAGAATGCATCCTTCTTCACAGCTGCCTTAGAAGTAAGCAATGTTCAGGTCTACGTGACAATGTAAGAGTGTCCCAGTCTCTCTCTGACCCACATTTAGTATAAATGGGTCCCATAGTACAGGAGCACAGTCTGAACAAATGGTATGTTAGCTGCTGCTTTCTGAGATTCTACAACATACACTTATAATCTCGCCACCAGCAGAGCACTGTAGAGCTCCCAGGTATTTGAAGCCATTACTGAAAATTAGTATTTGCAAAGTATAAGGCACAACCTCTTCTTCCCTACATGACAATTCTCAAGCCTGGCACCGACCTTTCTCTTGGTGGCTGACATGACAAATAAAATGGTGCCATCTTTTCAACACTACCCCTACTTTGTATTTCAGGCAAGCTTTATAGGTATCATTTAAGCCTCAGTCCTAGTGCTCTTCTCTTTGTAACCTATATATTATTACATAATTATTATACAGTATTTTAATATAGAGGCACTTGCAGGACTTTTATTGAAGAAAAAAAATAGGAAGTGGTTTATTTTGTCAGGGTTGTTTATGATGACAGTGAACTGTCAGTTCAGAGTGATTTCTCTTTTTAATAAACCATTGCTTATTGTTTCATCTATAAAAGTTCTGCAAATGCCTCTTTCTATAGGCTTACATTTATATTTTGTGACTCTGCACCCAGGCAGCTTTTCTGTTTGTGGCAGCACTACATTGATCACTGCTACTAACTTATATTCTTATACTAATAACATATATTCTTATGGCTGAGTTGCGTTTTTAAAATGCAAATGCTCCTTGGCTTTATATGAGCAAATACTTATACAGATTTTGTCCTAAATCCATATTATGTCTCCTAAAATACAGTTTCAGATATACAGTATCAACGCCTTTCAATCAAACAAAAAAAAGGAAGCTCATGGTAATGATTACAAATGCATTTTTTAAAGGTTCCTTATAAAATAGCTTTGTTTCGTTAGTAGACCAATCATTATGTCAAACTTCCTAATGCAGAGTATTCTGTAATCACTATGTCAAACTGCATTGCCTAATAAGCAATGCAGTTTGCGTGCAACGTCTCTTGTTGTGACATCCCCATTAACACCCCCCATAGTGTTGTTCTGTATAAATGCTGAAGACCACTGCACACACTGTACATCCAGGACTTAGAAGGTGAGACATCAGTTCACATTGCCTAATTCACTAGCTTTGTCGGATATACCTCCGGCCAATGTTAACCCTTAAGCAAAGCTCACTTATACAAAATTAATTTCTTCTAGAAGCTGGAATATGGCTCCTCTGCGTGTCAGTATTTCTGTTCTTCTGGTCCTCGGACTGGTGCAGATTGGTTCAGCATCTTTCTATGGTAAGTCTTTATAATTGTATTAACAGTTTTTCTTGGGTTACAGTTTTTATGTTTCAATTAGGATGTGAACACTGCTTTGAAAAATCCAGTATAAAAGCTACCAAGGTGAATATACAGTAAAAATATTCAAATGGCTAGTGACATAGCATGACCAGTGTAGAAACAAAGCATTCATGAGTAGAGTTGCATATTTACTAATCTGATCTATCAAAGGTAACATTTTTTTATTTGGTTAGAGCAAACCTATGCTCCTTCTTCCTTAACTGGCACTAAGCTGACCCATGTACTTCCCACCTTTCTGAGTCACTTAACTAGTACATGTATATCAGGAGTTCTGACTTCACTGGCTATATACTTTATCCAAATTAGTAATTCAGAAAGTATTGCAGTCAAAGGATCAGCATGACAGGCAGGCAATTATCATTTGTGGAAGGCCAACAATGCTATCCAAAATATTTGTCATGTTAAGTTTCTTTCTCTATATACAGTATATGTCTATATCTACAATTGATCAATATTTAAGCACATATGTAAGGGTTAGGCCAGGGGTAATTAACCTCAGCACTCCAACTGTTGTTAAACTACAAATGCCATGAGGAATTGCAAGACTCTGAAGTCCACAGGCAAGACCCCCAGAGGCATGGTGTGACTTGTAGTTTCACCGCAGCTGGAGTGCCGAGGTTGCCTTTCCCTAGTCTAGGTATTTGATGAGACAGGATTACCCACTGGCTTTCTTATCTTTCTGTAGCACAACCCAGTGACTTCATCATAGTTCCCAGTTCTATTACCTTCCCCATCACCGATCCTCATTCATCCTGCTGCATTTTTAGTAATGTAATATAAATGGACATCCAGCAGGGAGAGTGAGAATATAGTGAGTGTCATGGCTGCAGCAGGCATGCAGACATGTGTATTTGGCCAACTCACTAGGTCGGTATTGTTGTCCCCCAGAACCTAAATCATCAGTTATGTGTGGCATCAGTATGTGCCCATAGAGAACAGTATTTTAAATAAAGGTGAAAAAAGGAAATAGAAAATGTATCCTATTAAAAGATGATTTAATTGTTTTTAACATTTTAAACATATAGCTTTTCTTTGAGATATAGCTTAATATAGTATACATCATCATATACAGTCATGATTTCATTTATATAGCATATCAACTCTATAAAAATATTTGTTAATCCATTAAAAAATAAGCCAATATACTTTACATGCGAATATTATTTTATTTTTATATTGTGTTGAAAATTATATATTTAGACAACATAAGTTCAAAGTTTATTTGATGAATTTACTTCTCTTAAACATGTTGTGGTATGATATGAGTACAAAGCATTGGGAAATAGTTGGTTATATGTATGTGTTAAGTAATATATGTATTGCTTATATGTTTCCTATTGATCTGATTTCTTGTGACAATTTGTATTCATGTTTATTCACTTTGATAATCAGTAACTGGGAAAAGCAACCATATTACGCTGCTAGACTTCTCTAATAATAAAGTAAAACATAATGATGATGTGACAAGTGCAGTAAAATATAGTGTGTGTATACAAGTATATCAGAAGCAGAAGCCAATAGTTTTTGAAGCTTTGGATTGAGTAAACCTCTGTCAGGTTTATTGCTGTCTGTGCACCCCCCTGGAGAGATCACCCTCACTGCAGGTCCTGACTGTCAGGAGAAGGAGGTGAGAAGGAATCTTCCCAAAAAAAAAAAGTTCAGATATACTTTTAATGATATGTCAGTTTAATGACAATTGCTGACTGGTTGCTATTTCTAACTGCATTACTGCAAAATAGCCTGCTCCTTCTAAACTGCTCCATGTTCCACTCAACTGTCTAGATGGAGTGCAAGAGCTGGACGACGACTTCATTCTTGATTCACTCCAAAAAGCAAAGAAACTTGTGGACGTAGCCTACAAGCATACCCGTGATGTGTAAGTTCCCTCTTTAGCACTGCAGATTTTGTAAATGTATTATGTATTTCACTAATCTATCAGCTTTACCTGGAGCGAAGTGTTGGCAGAAACTGGTTATTAGATATTCCATGTACCTCTTTTCAGGGGAACATTCTGTTTGATGGGGCACTGCAAATAGCATTTCAGTATTGGAGCACTCCCATCATAAAGCAGAATAGGCATCTCACCTCCCCACTGGAAGGCAGCAGGAACGTAATTCATTAAGTAGGCAGATTTACCTAGTACACCCTAGACTTCAGCAGTCCTGCCAGTCTTTTTCTTCATAAAACAGTTGTCTGATGCATGGCTTGTTTGATACTTATTTGTGTACAACCATTCAGAATTTTACTGGGGTTGAGGGCAGGTCTGGAGAGGAACATTTAATAGAAAGTTCCTTTAAATGGAAGAAAACTTTAGCAATAATAACGTGCATGTTTTGTGATTTCAGACTTAAAGAGAGATTGAGAAAGGGAATTATAACACCTTCTGAAGTCATGTCATACTTCAAGCAGCCCGTGGCCTCAAGCAGAAATCACATCCGAGCTGCTGACTACATAGAGACTACCTTTGACCTTTTGACGGAGAAATTGCAGAGTATATACAGCAGACCTTTCAATATTTCAGGTACAGTATACAAATGGTAGCATTGTTATGTGGAGAGTTGACCAGTATGTGTTGGTTGTGCTACTCAGTTTGCTAGAAACCTATTGAAATACAGAAGCATTAGAAGATTTCATGATTATAATAATTCTTGTATCTAATAGACATGCTCACAGTAAATCAGCTGGACATGTTGCACAAGGCTTCTGGCTATGCTTTCCTGCTTCTTCCAAGGGACTGCCCAAAAACTCAATACCGCACCTTCACTGGAGAATGCAACAACAGGTGAGAGAAGGAACATTCGCTTTTATGGCAGCCCTATCCTATTCAGAAAATACTAATATCCTCATGGCGCATAGGAATTAAAATGCATGTTTCTTGTGTTTGGAGCTCATTTCTAAACACACCTGGAAGCCCGTAATGCTTTGCTATGCACACCTAGATGTATAGCAGCGCCTAGGTTCATTGAGGAATTTCTTCATCCTGGGACCATTTAGCCTGGTTTTACACTGGTAATGCATGTGGCTATACACAGTAATAAGGGATCTGGGAAGCATAAAAGTTGTTTACACTACCTAGACAACTTCTCCTGTGTTTTTATTGGAGGAGACCCATGAGCATGGGGCCATGCTGAGGCTAGGAGTATAAAGTTGATTTATTAAATAAACTTTACTACCAGCTATCGGTAGCTAGTAGCATCACTGTTGTGTGACCACAATCTGAGTGAAGCCCCCATCTGGGATCATAGAGGAGGAGGTCTTCCTGCTATGATTCCCAGCTCTACTGCCTGCACTGCAAGATATTAAGTCCTTTCTGCTGAACTCTCCATAAAGGGACATTATATTTTAACAATGGCTTGATTATTTCACACAATACAAAGACCATAAATACTTTGTAACCTACTAATACATCAATCCTCAACCAAAACCTAGTTTTCAACCTGAGGCCAGGAATGCCACAGCCATGTCCGTTGAACCCTTCTAACCTGTTCTTAATATTGTATATCATAGAGGAGCCTAAAGCTGGCCATACACCTATAGATTATCTGCAGATTTTCTATGGTCAGATGGAGAAAGTGTACCTTGCAAGTCACCCCCGCTGGCTGTCAAAATACCTGAACAATCTGGATGCAGGCATTGTTCAGGTATTTTGAGAGCCAGCGGGGCCGACTAGCAAGATACTGAAGCTTGGCCCAGTGGGAGATTCCTCCATCCTCACAGTGTAGCGTAGATGGAGGAATCTGTTGTGCTTTTTCCATCTGACCATAGAAAATCTGCAGATAATCTATAGGCGTATGGGCAGCTTAAGAAAAGCAGGAGAAGGGAGGCTCTACAAAGTGCCAGTTCCATTATTGATTACACAAGTCTCCTGCTGTATTTCCCTGACTGATCTGCCGGGTCCTTATCTAGCAGTATGTACAGTAACTAAGTTTTGTAGGGCTAACAATTGAACTGACCATTAATAGCAAAACCTAAAGTTGGTAAAAGTTCAAAAGAATGGCTTGTCACTACTGACATGCTTTAGTTTACAGATCATATCAAATCATGGTTTCTGTTCCCTAAAGTAGATTATCATCTTAAATGTAAAATAATACAGCTTTTCCTGTGAATAATGTTCATTGAAATGTATTTAAACCCAAGAACAAAAATATAATCTATAGCAGCTTACTGGTTTTGGCTGCATTCGTTTTCTTTTGTCTTTTAGGCATTTTTTTCATGTTATTTTCACCCGGTAATACTGCCACTTCCTGTCCAAAGGGTGACATTTCTCACTTGCTGTACTGTACCTATGAAGGAGTCATGTTGTCACCCCAGGAAAGGACTACATAATACCTCCCCCTCTATATAACAAGGGGGAAGGGGTTGTTTTGTATTCCAAGGAATTTACTGGGAACAATGTCATTAATAAAAGTGTAGCGCTTGTAGCGCATCTATAACACTGACCTTCTACGTTTCAGGAGATTTCCCAACTTTGGCGTTTCCAACAGACCCTATACACGATTGCTTAGAGCCCAGTATGAAGATGGAAGGTCCTTACCTCAAGGATGGACAGAAAATCAAAAGATCAATGGCTTTGTTTTACCTCTGGTGACTATATATTCTGCTGTATATATTTTTACAAATAATGTGTTCTAGGAATATGTGACAAAGATCTGATGGCCTTCAGGTTCAACATAAACTAGTTACAAAGGAAAACCAGAAAACACACATACAGAAAAAAAAATCTGGCTGGGATTCTAGCCTTCTACTCTACTAAAGAAAAACACATTTTATTTCTGTCTGTGATGCTGTTGGAGATTTCCACTCACTTCCTGTCTGGTAAAATGTCAGCAGTGATGAGCCTGGGCTTGGTGTGAACCCAACCCACCCGAGTTTGTCCATTCCTGCTCAAAACTGTTAATGTCACCCCCTCCTCCCAACTCAGTCAGTTGCAGGGAGGTGCATTCCCTGCCCAGCAGCTATACAACACAAACGGGTGGGGAATGCCCCCACAGCAACTGCTGCCATGTATTGGGCAGGGAGTGGAAAGTAGTGGTGACCGTTTTCAGTGGGCTTGGTTGAACTTATGCAAACTGGGTTGTGAGGGGAAATCTCTCTAAAGGAGTGAGGGGAAATCTCTCTAAAGGAGTTCCCGATAGCAGTAAAAACCTGACGGGGGTTCTAACCCTTCTCCATCGTATCCTAACAATGAGGGAAAAAAAAGCTTAGATTGGACATATACTTTTATTGTGCTTAATGTTAACTGTTCTATACTGTACTTACCCTTTAAATTGTTATGCTTTGCAGGCACGGGCTGTATCCAATGAAATTCTCCGGTTCCCAGAGAGCCAGCAGACCCTAGACAGGCAGAGATCACTTATGTTCATGCAATGGGGTCAGTGGATTGATCATGATCTTGATCTAGCACCAGAGACTCCATCAAGATCAACCTTTCTCAGAGGCATTGATTGTGATCACAGCTGTGCCCGGGAGCTGCCATGTTTTCCTCTGAGGGTAAAGTTCCTGTAAAATTATATTTTCATTGTAAGGATTTATAAACAGCTTTTCAATTTACAACTGTTATCTGTTTGATCAGCAAACAGCACGTAGAGTGCTCTGCATATGTATTCACCCCCTTGGACGTTTCCACAGGTTGTATTTAGAATTAATTTAGTTGGGATTATTACATTTTATTTAATACTTTGAAAGTACAAAAATATTTTATTGTGGCACCATTGTTGATTTTGAACAAGCCATATACAGAATGCTCCCTCGGTCCCAGATAACCTGAGCACTGCGTGTGTGTGTGTGTGTGTGTGTATTTTATATGAAATAAAATATGTGAATAAGTTTGTTGCTGTTATGTATTTAACTTCACAGATCCCTCCTAATGACCCTCGCATAAAAAATCGCGCTGACTGCATACCGCTCTTCCGTTCATCTCCAGCCAGCGTGCCACAATCCCCTGTACGTGAACAGATGAATATTCTCACTTCTTACGTTGATGCCAGTCAAGTGTATGGCAGCACCAATGAGCTGGCCAACAAACTTCGTAACAGGAACAATCAGCTTGGCCTCATGGCGGTCAATGACAGGTTTAACGATAATGGACGGGCCTACTTACCCTTCAGCACAAATGAAGAAGACTTCTGTCTCCAGACAAACAAGACCTCTGGTCTCCCATGTTTCTTGGCTGGTGGGTAAACTCATTTGACAGATAGTATTATTACATTGGCACAGTAGAAGAGGAGTCTAAAACCTTAAAGAATAGTGTAAACCAATAGCTGGATGGTATTTAGTTCACTACTTTTTTTTATCCTTTCTTGCATATCAGCACTGTTTAATCTCTTGAAGACTCTTCCCATCTACATGCATGCACTTCAACAACTGCTGTATGTAGGGCCGTCGTAACAAATCTTGGGGCCCCGTATACCCTACTTGACAGGGCCCCCTCCCTCCCCCGACTAAGTAGTGCACAGTCAGATGCTGTGTCGCACTCTAATGTGCAGGAGGAATAGAGCACAGGTTCCCATCCCCAGTGAGACAAGGGCCCAGGAGTTTTATTCCAAAACCTTCCTTAAAGTGTAAGTAAAGTGTGGAAAAACACTCCAGAGGCATTTGCCATAAAGTGCTAGTACACACAGCATCTAATCACATCCGAGTGGCAGGGGTACATATATGAGCAGTGTAGGAAGAAGGATACAAAAGTTAAAGTTTTGGCCAGTACCCAACTATTAGTAGCCCTGTCCGCATATAATTTCTCATGGCAGGTTTCCTGATGGTGACAACAGTGGAACATGCATGTGCAATGATTGTTTGTGTGGCTGCCATACTATAGACATCTTATTTAGAAAATATTTAACAAGTGCAGAATCCCGGCTAGATTGTACAATGTCCCCATATTACCCTCCAGTGTATTCTTTCTTTAACTATTTCTTGCCATTGTATTAGCACAATCCTATGATCTGTAATGCATAAAACATTGATGAAAAATGGATGACATTAACCTTCTGTATGTTCTTCAGGTGATGGTCGAGTCAGTGAGCAGCCTGGTTTGACCGCGTTTCACACAATCTTTGTGAGAGAACACAACCGCATTGCCACTGCGTTGCGCAGGTTTAACCCAAGCTGGTCAGGGGAAACACTTTTCCAGGAAACAAGAAAGATAATAGGGGCTGTGACACAGGTGAGGCATGGATTTTGCTATAAGGCAACATACATAATGAAAGGTGGCACCAGGTACATGGTTTGAGCATTAAGGCTACAGGTTACTTTTTGCAGTTCAAGTTTGCACCATCATCGGCAGAGACCACACACACACACACCCTTGTCTGTTTTCACAATTGTAAGAAGATCACACAAACACCAGCATCTTCCAATCTTATGTACTACCATGTCCAAAACAAATAAACAATTTGAATAATTCTACTATTTGTAATAATAAAAGTGCTAAACATTTTCTTTGTGTTTTCTGTGGCAGAAAATAAACTATAAAGAATGGCTGCCCCTGCTGCTGGGCTCTGCTACGTCCAGGGTTCTTCCTTCTTACCGTTCCTACAATGATTCTGTGAATCCAGGAGCATCCAATGTGTTTAGTCTGGTTTTCCGCATGGGTCACACAATGATCCAGCCATTCATTTATCGACTGGGGGATCGTTATCGGGCCTCATCAAACTTCCCTCCAGTTCCTCTGCACCTCACCTTCTTCAATACTTGGAGAGTTGTCCGAGAAGGTAAATTTTAGTTGTCAACAATAAGAAGCCTTCAGGCACGGAATACTTCCTACTGTTTTAGATCTCCTTCAGTGTTCTTTACAATTGTGTAGAATATAGTTAGCGTTATTCCAGGTAGTATCTTACATGACCAGTCTTGTTGTCTAATATTAAAACTATTCCTAGCTTTCCGCTTTTATGACTCAAACGCAGCTCATTCCTTACTCATTTCATGCGTATGACCTTTTTAATTGTGGTCTTCTTGAAGGAGGAGTTGACCCTCTTCTTCGTGGTCTAATGGCAAACCGAGCGAAACTCAACCGGCAGAATCAGATTTTGGTAGATGAACTCCGAGAGCACCTATTTGAGCTTTTCAAACGTCTTGGCCTTGATCTGGGGGCCCTTAATATGCAGCGAGGCCGGGATCATGGACTACCAGGTAGGTTGTGAAAAAACTACAGAGCTTCTAGTTGATAAAATAACGAGAATATTTTCCTTTTGTTGTGGGCTCTGTGTAGGACCTTCTTTAACGTGACTGTTTAGAAATATCCATTGTACATCTAAAAAAAAAAGGTTTATGAGTAGGGCTGGGGAAATTAACGATTAATTACCCGATTAATAGTTAAAATTTTTGATTGATTAAAATTATTTTGATCAATAATGAAAACACTCACTCACCTCTCCGCCGCCTTCCGGGTCTTCCCGGGAAGGGGGGAGGAGTCCGGTGACGTCGATGTCCGTGATGTCACCGGACTAGGCCTATACACATACAGCACAGCAATGAAGTAATAAAAGGAACTAGGATCACACTAATCCAGCACGTTATTATTCTGAGTTGCCCCACTCAAGCGGCGACCATATTGAGTGGGGCACGTGAGATTAATAACGTGCTGGATTAGTGTGATCCTAGTTCATTTAATTACTTCATTGCTGGGCTGTATGTGTATAGGCCAATGTAGTTGGATCTGTATGTGCGTTATAATTAATCGATTAAAAAACATTTTGATTAATCGAACACAAAAATTTTAATCAGTAACAGCCCTATTTATGAGATATGATATCTCATATATATATATATATTGCATATATTATTTTTTTTTAAAGTTAGTCTTTCACTTCCTATGTAGTCATTTATGTTTTCTCGGTGACCATTTTTTAAAATTCCTTTTTAATTAGGATACAATACATGGAGAAGATTTTGTGGCCTTTTTGCACCTCGTAATGTGACAGAACTGGCTCGGGTGCTGAATAACCGACAACTGGCACAAAAATTCATTGAGCTATATGGCACACCGGAAAACATTGACATCTGGGTTGGAGCTGTTGCGGAGCCTCTGTTGACTAATGCCCGAGTGGGTGAACTGTTGGCTTGTTTAATTGGAGACCAATTCCGAAGAACCCGTGATGGAGACAGGTGAATATATATATAAAACTAGAACTTTGCAATAACCTTATTCAGTGACTTTTATGAAGCTACATTTTGATACTGCCCTTTCTTATTATTCCATTACTGGTCACTTGTTTCCATACAGGTTTTATTATGAGCTGCCAAGTCAGTTTACACCAGCTCAGAGGAGGTCATTAGAAAGAGTTACAATGTCCCGCATCATCTGTGACAACACACAGATCACTGAAGTTCCCCGAGATGTTTTTGTAGCAAACAGCTATCCAAACGACTTTGTAAACTGCTCTCGGATCCCAGCATTTGACCTGAGCCCCTGGAGAAGAAGAAAGAGTGGATCAGGTGAGAGATGAACTGTCAGTAAAAAACTGACCAGCCCAGTAAGAACCAGAGCCGATGGCCCAGAGGACTGTGGTCCATTTTGCATTCTAAATGGGAAATAGCATAGCATGAATTCAGAGATGATTGGAGGATCTACAGCTGAGTGATACACCATTTTGTTAATAGGTACTTAAGGCATTCTAAGATTTTAACTTCTGAGTTTAGTGTCACTTATGTTCAGCTTTTGGTGTATATTCACATTTCACTCTTGCAAGCCTTGCCTTGTTAGTATTTCAGATGGAGAGAGACATACGGCAGATACTAGCTAACAACTGCCAGGTCCTCATGCAAGAAATGACTAAACGAATATGAATATTGTGCTATGGTAGAAGCAGAGAGTGATGCAGCTCACTGTATTTCAGTTTCAGTAATTCATGAACATTTTAAGTGGCAGAAAGTCAATAGTCAATCAAATGTAAAGCTGAAGTCCAGGCAGATATAAAACATGTAAGTTAATGCAGCTCTGTAATCATGAATACATCCTTAATTTGTGTTTAATGCAAGCGGTATCATTACCTACATTTGACATAGTACCAGCCTTTTGACATCCTTGTACAGTAGAGCTCAGAGACGGGGGGGTTGAGAAGCAGCAAGAGTGGCCAATCACGTGTGTTGCAGTGCAAGGAGCATGCTGATATGCAGAGGCAGCATACTGGCAGAGAGATGGCTTATTAATGTGCTTTAATCTCCTTTCTGTCCAGTCGATGGGTTGAGATGGGGTGGGTAGAAAACATGTAATTGAAATTGAAACTGCAGTAGAATTACATTGAGCCCCCTCCCCTGAAAGGGAGGACTATTCAGTATAGCAGAGCTGTGTCAATCTCAGAACTCGATGAAAGGAAATACAAATCCTTTTGCAGGTAAATGTATCTATGTATGTAGCAGATTACCTGGAGTGCTACTTTAAACTCATTTTCCTTTCACATACAAATATTTTAGAGTGCTGTATCTTGTTTTTTCAAATGTCAATAATAGCTGTTTAACTACCGAATGTCTATATTTCTCATTTGTCTTAATCTCACAAAGATAAATATAGCTTCATTTTCTGCTGTACGCAAGGCACATTATACAACCTCCCGGCTATCACCATCCTGCAGCTTAGTGGTGTGCTAAAGAACAACCAGCAAGATCTCAGTTATACACTGTCAGTTTAATGTGCAAGAAAAAAAATGAAAGCTGAACTTCAGGCAAACCGCTAAATACACTGATAAAAAAAATGCATACAGGAGCTATTTTACTTGTCAAACACAGCTCCTCCACACAGCGTAGTCACTTATATCACACTTACATGTCTTGTCTCAGATAACCCCTCCCCTTCCACCACCACCAGTGAAAAGAAAAAGCAGAAGACTGATGAGTTCATCTCTCTGTTATTATGCTCTATGAGCATGTTTCTTGCAGGCACATGAGCACTGCAGCACAACTGATTGGCTCATTGTACTACTTCTCCCTCTCCTAGTCTGAGGTCTTCTGTACAGGGATTGCAGGTGGCTGATATCAGGTCATATCCTGGTGCTTAAAGTAGTATTAGACTCTCAAACTTGTTTCAATAGTAAATCCAGATCAAACTAATATGCATTGCCCAGCACATTATTTCTTTAAAATTTTGCCCAAGCACTTAGTCATCATGTTTCAGAATGGCTCCAACTCTCTCAGTTCTGCGTCTCTGAACGTCCTGTTCGATCACGAGAGAGAGAGAGCGCAGTCTCCAGCAAATGTCCATCTACTAGCTTGGAGGAAGAAGAAAGGAGGAGGCAGTGGGAGTGAGGAGCAGGGAAGAGGCTTGCCTTACTGTGCCTGTGTGTTTGTGGAGACCCATAGAGCTTACTGGCACACACAAGGGTGGCTCCATAGGGCCCTGCAAGTAAAGTAGTCAACCTAAAATGCTAAAAGGGCTAATGCTCAGGGGACCATGCGATTCTGCAGGAAACTAAAACTTTTAAACATTAAGGAGCAGCATCCATTGTAAGAGATTAATCAGTTTGAATCGTCTAAAAACCTAAATATTAGGGATGCACCTATACTAGTATCGGTATTGGTGCCAATGCTGAGTATTTGGGCGGGTACTCTTACTTGCCCAAATACTCCCGATACCAATTCCCATACCAGAACATCCGGTATCAGGAAGATGGGCGATGAGTCATTGCACACCGCCTGGCTTCCTTAATGAAACTTCCGATATTGGTATTCGGTATTGTTGCGTGTACCAAAAAATGATATATATCGGTACTCCATACCGAAAAACCGGTATCAGTGCATCCCTACTAAATAGATTACATGATATACTAATGAATCCACAGCTACCTTCATTTTCTGTCTTTTAGGTCTGACTGGAGTTCCGGTTTAATTTGCTCCATGTGATAAAACATTCAGTGAATTAAAAACCTAATTTTGATAGTAATAAGAAAATAACACACAGCTATGAAAATGCTGCAACTGACCTTGTAGTGTGCAGAACACAGCTGTATGCGTTCAATCTTTTAGGGATTACAGCATAGGACCGGGGTCACCGTGGCCAATAAAACCGTCGCAAATGATTATTGCTGGAATCCAACCGCAGATAATAACAATTCATTTCACTCTTCCATTTTCAGAGCTTGAAGATGAAGAATAATGAGAAGGGAAGGAAGGTGTATGGGGCAATGCTGCACGCGTCTCTCTGTCTCTGTATACCTGAAAGCTACAATTCTTTATATAGACTGATCCATTTTCCATACAGTCTAAATGCCGACATATAGAATATCTAAAGTATAAGCTTACATTGCTGGGCTAATGCTGCATAGAACATAAATGTATACCTTGCCTGTGTGATCAATCAACCTGATATTGCAACGTGCCAATAAACCTATAAAAGGAAAATGTGTGTATTATTGAACTAGGATTTGTATTGATGATCCACACGTGATATTTCTGATTGTTGGATATTTTTTCAACACATATTATGTGTTTCAGTATCCATTCACACATAGGCGTTTAGAATGCAGTGCGTTTTAACACAGCATTTTTAATAGCCGCGTGGTTTTGCGCAGATTTGCAGCTTCACTACAGTTTATTGGGGACTCCGAAATGTGCCAAAAAATTACATATGTACTTTTTCCAGAGTTGCACATTTTTGTGCGCACGTACAAAGGTGCAGGTGTGCTCAAGCCATATAGGAATGCATTGCTTTTTATGTTTTGCGTGTAAAAATGTGTGAATGGAGACTAGGGATGCACCGATACCGTTTTTCCAAGTACCGATTTGTATTTTTCGGTACTTACCGATACCGAGTAAGTCCTAATAACCTTTCAAAGTCATACATATTAGCATAATGAGATTCAATGTTCATTACATATGAGTTTTACAATAGTCCTGAACTTTGTACAATCCAGCAGTTTTACATTCTTTCATTCTATTTTAAAGGTACCAGTCTACTCTTCCTACATTCCTCACAGCTGTTGACACTATACTTAGGTCTGCTCTGTCAGGCTTCATTATTGAATAGCATCTGCAAACTTAAAAACTTATAGTACTGCCATTGAACATCAGCAAAATCATAGACCTGTATGTGTGCTTGTATATATTCCCAAGTTTAAACAAATGAAAATATAGAAAATCAATCCTCATATATAGGTCTTTCACATTCCTACATAATAACTATAGAAATAATACCCTATAAACATTATTAGTAAACATAAGTAAGGCTTTAACAATCAAATTTCACATTTAGAATAATAGATGCTGCAGGTACTGGCTGCATGTCAGACTGTGTACTGAGCATCTAATCTTAAAGGGTAAGTTCAAAATGTCAAAGAATGAAATGACTCCCAGCACCCCCCACCTCCCTCGGTCTCTGCTGCACTTACCTGCGCCGTGCCCCCGCCAGTGTAGTGCTCCGTACACCACACTTCGCAGCCCTGCAGTCTGTAATAATCGTGATGCCCCTGTGTATGGTGAGCACCCATCGGCCAGCACAGTCACATGACCATATAGTCATGCTGGACGGCCCGGTGTTCCACACAGGCTGACATTTGTCAATAAAACAGACACCAGTTTGTGTTATATATAAAAAAATGTTTTATTTCAGGACAAGGTGGAGACATTTCGGCAGCCCACATGGCTGCACAGAGCCCTCATTGCTGCTGTTTTATTTTTGTGTATTCAGTTGACATGGCTTATTGGTATCAGCAGAGAATTCATCAAAGCAAATCTGTACAAATGTCTTGACTGGAGTGAAGATCTGCTATTGGGAATGAATAGGGATCCAGTATGGCATTCTGAATTGTGGTGTACCATGCAGCTACTGGTTCATTCCAGTAATATGGTATTCTGAGTGAATCTGGACTGATCTTTGTGACACATTCATTATAAAACAGATGTTTGTCACAGAACTGGTGCTTCATAACTGTTCCAGATCCAAAGACCTAGAATTATGCAAATCAGTCATCTAAAGACAAAGGCAGAGACCTATACTGGCTAGATTGAACTATTACCCAATAACTGGGGGCAATGGGGTTCACCTTTTAAAGTTTAACTCCATGCAAACTGCACTCTGTTTCAGATGTATTAGACTGGGAGACAGAGATTGTTTCCTGATCCCATGACTGGTACAGACCACAGGACTTGGCTATTTATGTGGACAATCCACAAGCAGGTACAGGACATATAATTAATGGGGAAATTAAAGCTAATCTGCCTCCTGCCCCACGTCCCTAACTAATAACTGCCAAAACATTTTTTTAAATTCCTAAATGCCCCTTTTACCTATGTAAATCCACGGTCACTTGACTTCCATTCCTAAGTCTCCTCTACTTTTCTGTGTACAGCAGGCAGAGTCCTTATTTGGATGTCCAAATCACTACCTGCTTGACACGGACACTTCCTATTCGCTGTCCAGCAGTGGGGTCCTCTCAAGATCCAGAAGAGGAGCAGCAGTAAGTTCTGCAAAAGAAAACCATCGGGGACTGGGCGGCATGGGCAAATCGGCATTAGTGAATCACGGTCCCCTGTGCCCAGAAACTGGGCTAGCAAGAGGCCCACATAGTTGCTCAGGAGAGATAAACATCACTTCACAAGGTATTTAAATAAAAAACAAAGGTGAGGGGAGGTGGGAGTGTTATGTTTTGCCTGGATATAGGATGGAGTATGATCAGATCTCTTCATTCACGATGAAAGGTTCAGTCATATGCCAGGCAAACGTCCTTGGTTAGGAATAAACTTATTGAGAAAAGAGGATCTCAAAGAGAACGTGTTCAAGATCTTTGTAATATTAATACAAAAAGTTTGACTCTTAAATAAAATGGATTTTCTTGGGTTACAAGCATAAATCTCCAACCATATGGGTAGTTAGAGCACTAATGTACTTTATATACATAAATCTGTTCATAAAAGTTACTAATAACATTGATGAGATGGGGCATTGAATTAAAATTAAAACAGTAAAAACTAAAACAGTTCACACAGTATTTGACCCCATAAAACAATTTGATTCAATAAAAAGCACGGCTGGAACAATGACAAGGTGAAAAGAAGCTGTTAGGGATTATTCTACATTAGACCTAGCTTTGTTTCTTATATGTGGGAGGAGGGGACCCCCCTGCATGTGAATACACAAAACACTCAGAAAGGGGGGCAATTTTCCGTTCAGCTTTTATCCTACACATTCACCTAGTTTTATGCTTGAGAGCAATCTGCATAAACCACATTAATAATATACATGTATATCATTCTACACTTCAGATTCTTGGTTTTGTTTTAGCAGCACTAGAAATGTGTACATGGCCAATAGAATATTGGTTTCCAATGTTTTTCTACAAAAGGAACATATTATGTATGATCACTTCTGCAGAGTACAATAAGATATTTAAAAAGATATGGGGGGGGGGAGGGGCTAGAGCATTGCACCTGTGATCCACTGATCATGATTGCAAGGCTTTATTGGCTCTATTGCAAAAAATAATAAAATGCAGACGTGTCCATTTATTATTTTGTTTCTACAGGTGGAACTTGCCTTGACGCCCTTCCACCAGCACAGCTAGCAAGTACTGAACGAGGTGGTCTAGTAGTAAATAATTAAAAAAAAAACCCCCAAAACTAGAGTTGTAGCCATAATAATGACTATCACAATAATTTATATTGTGACATAATTACTCCTTATTAGTACTCCTAAACAGTTACTTTATAACCCGAACACATACTGTAGGTCTTTAAACTGAGTCTTTTTTTTTTTTTAACTACAAATCGCTGTCAGTTTTCAGCTGAGGAGACCCTCCGGGATTTTTTAGAGTCTAAGGCCTCGTTCACGCCTGAACGTTTTGTAGCGCGTTCTATGCTCGACGAACGCTCTACAAAACGCTCAAACATCTAATTCCCATTGTATTCAATGGGTCTGGTTCAAACCTTGGCGTATTTCAGCCCGTCCCTAACGCTCTACAAAACGGCCCACGCCTGAAAAGGTACATGTACTACTTTGGGCCGTTTTTGTTGCGCGTTTCCATTGGGATACAGCCAAGTAGCCCTCGGAAACGCGCGTTTGTCGCGCATCGCGGTAAAAAAACCGCGCGACAGACGCGCATATGCAATAGGTGTGAACCAGGCCTGAGGAAAGGTGGCCATACACTGTACAACCATCGCAAGACTTTAGTCTTGCGATGGTTGTAAAGTGATTAAAAAAACGTACGATCTGCCCATCTTGGACAGGCAGATCGTACTCTCGATCATCTCAAGCCCGCCCCCCTGAGGGGCAGGCTTCCGATGACCGCAATGCTGAACGGGCAGTGTGCGCACACCGGCCCGTTCGGCATTTGTCTCCAGAGCACCGTTCAAACCAGCCGAAAATCGTACGATTTTCGGCTGGTTTTCTGGCGTGCTCCATAGACAAAAGACATGCGACCGTACAGTAGAAACGGTCGCATGTCTTCGTTCACACTGCTCGATTCTCGTACGATCGCGGGATTTCCCGCGATTCTCGTACGAGAATCGAGCAGTGTAAGGGCACCTTAAGACTCCATTATACATACCGAGTAAATTCAATTCCAGCTGGGATGACCAGAAGCTCTGAGGGCAATAAATCTACACAGCTAATGCAGCTAAAACCGATTCTCCTTATTGCATGACTTGCAAAGGGAGATATGTGACTGGTGACAACAATTATGAAGTCTCCTCCAGTGTGTCTGACGTCAGTGTCAACAGCAGCCTCTGCAAACCTTAAAAATACAATACTGGATTTGTGTTCTCTCCACATGTACACAGATTTACTAGTGTAAGTTGCCTAACAGAGCCCCCTTCCAACCCTGGGCCCCGTAATGGGCACATGGGCTGCTATGGCTATTGTTGCACCACTGGCTTTACAGGATAGAATAAAACTGCATTTTACAAATTGCCAAGGGAAATTTATGAAGCACAGTTGATATGCCAAAAATGTAAACGTGGACACGGCCCAAGTGCCTGGACACAGAAATCTGTGTTTACCTGTAAAATGTGTATTGTGTATTCTACTCTATTATCCAGAAAATATATAAAAGTCAGCCAGTATAAACCATCTTCAAAAGGAAGAGACACAACACCCATCTTTCTAAAAGGGAACTTAGAATGGTTTTGGGTCAGTAATATTTTTACATTTTTTAACATGCATGTCGAGCCCTACCTTGAACATAGTGTGGATAGCATGGCGGAGGATTAGAACCCCTGCTGGGTGACAACAGTTTTACCAGATGGGAAATGAGAGAAATCTCAAACGATAACACAGACAGAAATACAAATGCTTTTTATTAGTAGGGGAGGGCTAGAACCCCTGTCCATTTTTAAGTGTCGGTCGTGTCCTTGTTAGAGTTTTTCCTCACTTCTTGTCTACTGAAACTGTTGTCACTGGAGTAGTATGTATATAGAAATCTCTCTAATAGTTTGGTTTTCGGATAGTCCTTCCTGACTATCCGAAAACCAAAGCTGTTCTGTAAGTATTACCTTAGTTCTATAAATTCTACAAATAAACATTTAATACAGGAAACACCCATGACAGCTGAGAGAAAGCACAGCAATAGCTGTTTACTTTTAGACTCTCAGCCCCTGACTAAAACTCTGTATAGATAATCTGAAAAAAGTAGAAGGAAGGAGGAGGAGTCACTGCTGAATCATTCACTTGTGTGTAGAAATATCAGCCTGAGCTACTGAGCTCTGTAACAACAGATTAAATAAGGAGAACCTAGAAAATGTAAAAGGCCCCAGATTCCCCCTGTCCTGCTTATGAAAATAAAATGTATCCTTATACAATAATTAATATATTTGCCAAAATTTTTTTTATAATTTTTAACCCTGACTATAACCCCCCCCCTCCCACCCCTGA